CAGTGCTCTTAGCCGCTGAGCCATCTCTCCAGCCCCCCATCTCCTATTCTTATCACACCATCCTCTGAAGAGGTTACCCAAATTGCCTGTAGGGAATCGGGATGCACACTGCTCTGGCTTCTTCCATGCTGAACAGAGACACAGGGTGAGGCAATTGGAGTACCCCTTCAGTGGGTCTATTTTAAAGACTCCCATATTGCATAACTCTTATCTCTAAGGGGAAAAGAAAGTCCTTGAATCTTGAATAGGAGATATGAAGGAGAAGTAAAGGAAGGAGTAATTAGCATTACAAGTTCTAGACAAGGAGCTAGAAAAAAGTCAGAACAGGGCAATTTTCACATGTTCATATGAGAGTCCACTGGAATGTCTTGACAAGGGCTTCCAAAAGCATCCCTCTATTGGGTTCTTCCTCATTTTTCTTTTGTCTTCCAAGGCTGGACTCTAGAGTGATGATTCAGGATTTGCTTTCAGGTATTTTGATAGCTGTTGGAGTAGTTAGAATCAGTATCAGTTCCCTCTCGAAGGCTTCTAAATAGGGGGAGAAAACAAATTTATCCACCATTTTAGAATGATATCTGGTTGTCTCCCTTAGCTACAGGTGGGCACTACAGTATTGGAGACCAAGAGTTGAAGTCTTACATCTGGGCAGCACTTTCTGATTAGGAACAAAATCATCAATGAGAAATACTTGTCTAAATAACTTTTTATATGGACTTAAGCCTAATGTCTGGGAAGTGCAATCCCCTGAACTCTTAAATAAATATGCTGATAACTTTACTCTTTGGTTATACTTTCCTTTTGGGTGTTTAAGACCATACAGTTGGCCCAAAGAAATCAATTTATTTTTACACTTAAGATCGTTTGAGGATATGTTCCTCGGGTGTCACATGGGCTTGGGAGGAGCTCCTGGCTCCTTTCTTTTACCAGTTCCATCTCTGTGAAGATAAGTCAAAGGTCCTGTTCGACCATGTCTGGCTTCACTTGGAAGCATGAATAAGATGTTTCTTCTAAGTTGACCCTCCTCTTTGTAGACTGGACACTGGTTCAAGTCCAGCTCATGGGGTCTCCATGTCCTCCCCAAACAAGAGGACAGGTGACTCACTACATTTACAGGACATTTTGAGAGATGTTCCATAGTCCCCTGGAACTTGGTCAACCTTGGAAGGCAAGGGGCAAAAACTGTCCTTTAAGTCCCTCTGGCCACATTAGTATAGGCCTTAAAGTATGGCTGTTAAACATCCAATAAGGTTAGTTCCACCAGTCTGGTACATTTAATTATCATGTGCTATGTAGATAAGGCTTAGGTAAAGAACCAAATATCCTTAGATAAACATTGACTAGATTTATATTTTGTTCCTTAAACTAGCTGACTAAACTATGACCATAAAAAATTTTAAGATTATATGCATATTATTTTTGTTTCATCCTTTATATATATAACAAACCTAAACAGACTTTCATCACTTGCTTAGGCTTTCTCATTTTTTCATTCTATTTTGGAAAATATCTCCATTCCCATATCCTTTTAGCATCTTTCTCATTTTCTTTTTTGTTAAATAATTATGAGGCATTTTTATTTTATGTGTATGAGTGTATTGCCTACATGTATGTGAGTGCACCCGTGTCACGCAGTGCCACAGAGGTCAGAAGAAGGCTTCAAATTCCCCAGGAACTGGAGTTAAGGATGGTTCATAGCCGCCATGTGGGTGCTGGGAATCGAACCCGGGTCCTCTGCAAGAGCAGTCAGTGCTCTTAATCGCTAAGCCAACTCTCCAGCCCCAAATCAAACATATTTTTTAAGTTACAACAGTATGGAATGGCTACAGACTTTCCTTCTTGTCATTATGCCCTGGACAATACAATTGTTCCATATTTATATTGTATTGGGGATCATAAGTAATCTACAAATAATTATAATATGTGGGAGAGTGTATATGTTATATGAAAATGCTGCATTATTTTATATGAAACTTGAACAGTTCTCAGATGTTGGTATCTGCAGGAGTTTCTGGAATGAATCCCCATTGATCCCGAAGGCTGATCATATTCACAGAAGGCTGGATGAACCAATAGGGACTTGGAAGCTGCAGAAAGAGAAGGGTTCTGTCATGGTACCAGGGCAGGATCAGAAGAGCAGGTTTAGAGGAAAGGTCTTATTGATAGCATTTCAGGGAAAGGTATTTGGCCAGAGAAAATTTGAGCCATAGAACCCAAGTGGTGACAACAGGGCTGCATTTGTTCTCTTTTATTTTTGTTATTTTTTGTTTTATGTGTATGAGCGCATTGCTTGTATGTATGTAAGTGCACCAGTGTACAGTGCCCACAGAGGTCAGAAGAAGGTATTGGATCCCCTGCAACTGGAGCTCTGGATGGTTGTTAGCTGCCATGTAGGTACTGGGAACCAAACCTGGGTCCCTGTAATAGCAGCCAGTGCTCTTAACCACTGAACCATCTCTCTAACCCCATGGTTCTTGGGGAGTCCTGTGTGCCCAGCTTGGGGGAATGGGAGAGGAAAAGTGTATTCTGTGCTCAGGATGGAGCTGAAGAAGACTTTCCCCCTGTATCATAACAGCAGTCCAGAGGCAAGAGGGACCCCTCGGTTAGGAATTCTAGGAATCCAGTGAGATATTGCCAGGCTAGAGTGAATGAAGCATGAGGGAGGAAGGAACGGAAGAAGACATGGAGCAAGAAAGGAATAGAACTTGAGTGCAAACTTCCTAAGTGACAACTCATGGAGCTCAACTGTTCGGAAGTGCAGCAACTCAAGGCTGGGAAGGGAGCTGAGTTCACTGGGCTCCTGCTAAATGGGAGCTGAGCTCTACATGAGGTTGCCTTCTGGGCTATCTCCTAGCCTGTGAGACTCGAGTGCTGGAGCTTCCACCAGCCACAGCTTTCAGAGTTGAGGTACCATCTCGGGGTCTCCTAAGCACCCCATATGAACTTTAGCTGTTGAGCACAGAGTAAAGGAACCCACTATCCCAGACTGAATTCCTCCATTATGAGCTCCTCCAAGGCCATGCTGCCCCTCCATGGCCGAGAAAGAAAGTGCAGCCACTTGTGCTGCTGGGTACAAGAGGGTGGCTTTACAGACTAGAGAATCTTTGCTGGGACACCAGGAGGAACTGGCTGCTTACCAACAGCCAGCAGCTTACTTTGTGGGTCATGATGGGATGCAGGAAAACTAAACATGCTAACCAGCCTCTAAGATAGATGTTTCTTGTCTTCTTGAAGATCACCATTTTGTTTAACAAACAGGGCGACACTTGAGAAGTCTGTAGTGAGGACCATGCAGAGCATCACTTTCTACTCAGTCTCAAGTCCTCTCTCCTACTCTGCCACCCAGGGTTTGAAGACCAAGGGTTGGGACTGGATTACAGGAAGGTGACTTCACTGTCACACTCCCAATGCCTCTTTGATACTTACAGGTGCATAAACCGGCTGCTACGAGCCTCGTAGAGCTTGAGATGCTCAAAGTGCTGGGACAGCCATGATGTTTGCACACAAGTCTAGATTATTAGCTTCTCTTCCACAATCAGAATATCTGGTGGCACCTAGGGAGTTGAGCAGTGTTGCATTAGAAAGGAGATGGATAATCACTGTTGCCTGAAGTCCACCACACGTGGTGCCCTCACCCTGATTCCTCCTCCCTATCATCAGCACAGTCTTCTAGGGGCATTTGGATTGTGGACCCCTAGATATCCTGCAGAGCCTTTGACTAGTGAACTCATGCAACCCCTGCTGCTCCTGCAGGTTAGAAGTGTGAAGGAATGGCCCAACTGGAAGGACACTGTGAGGGACTGAACCCAGCTCCCAAGCCTCCCTGAAGCCCTGGTCTACACTTCTCAAGGCTTGGGAACCCAGGAGTCATGATAACCTGTGATCCTGGGTGGAGTCCAAACTCACCTATGCCTTGTCTTTGTTTCCCTGCAGCGCCTCCACCTCAGTGAAGATGTGGCAGGGGCCACATTCATGGCAGCAGGCAGCTCTGCCCCAGAGCTGTTCACATCGGTCATAGGTAGGTGATACCTGAGGGCCATCTCAGTAGTTTCCTATCTGAGAGAAGAGGACTCTGAAGAAGAGGTCCCTTAGATTTGTGGTGTCTGCCCCTGATAAAAAAGTAAAATCCAAACAGAGCAACAGCCTCCCACTCTGCTGTGGTTTCTTTCATTCAAGGGATACTTTTTATCATGTGTAAACTTGTCCCAGACCCAGGGTCAGTGCTACTAAAGGACAGTCAACCTCTGGACTAGAAAGCTCCCTCTAACCCTTGGCTGTTTCCTATGGAGCCCAAGCACAGTCTAGCACTCAGAAAACTTCCTCCAGATCCTCCTTGAAATGTAACTGGGCCCCTACAGTGGCTGGTTTTGGTCTGTTTCAGGAGTTTTCATCACCAAGGGTGATGTGGGAGTCGGCACCATAGTGGGATCTGCTGTGTTCAACATCCTGTGCATCATCGGTGTCTGTGGGCTCTTTGCAGGGCAGGTAAGACTGACAACTTCTTTGTGATGGTGGTACATAATGGACATGTGGGGAAGGTGGAGACATGGAGCTGAGGTGGGCGACTGTCACGTTGGAACTCACCCACGCTGAGACCTTGGCCAGTGGTGATCTAGAGGCCTCACACCAGCTGGAACTGGAAACTCTGAGGCCACTGTTATTCAGTTTCCAGACTGATGGAATGTAGAACGTCAGATCCACAGAAGGAATGAACTAGTCTGCACGATGCAAGTTAGGAACTTAAAAACCTCTCCCTCATTTCGATAGATACTGGTCTGAATGAGAATGACCTAAAATAATTTGGGGTGTAATTGGTGCCTCAGAGGAAATAAAATAAATGAGAGGAAAGAGGGACAAGAACAGATACTGAATTTTTCTACTAAAACCAATGTATAGTGGTCGCAGTTCAGGACACAGCCTTTCCTCCTGCAGGGCTGGGGCTTTTGGAGTCTAGAGGAGCTTTGCAATCCTGAGCTAATCCAGGAGACTATTCTACTGCCAGGGGGTGTCCTGGGAGCTGGTGTCCTTGGTGAATACTGGTGTCTCTTGGAAAGTCATGAATTTGTTTAGAAGTCACCAGAGTGTGAGAAGGATGTGGCATGTTGCACATGCTGGAAAGCCCTCATGTAGCTTTCCTGTCAGCTCTTACACCCTGGTTTCCTCAGAGAAATTTTCGTAAGAAATGAGATCCTCAGTTCTCTACCTAAAAACCCAAGACTCCGTGTTTTCTACTTACTCTGGAAGTGACTCACTTCTAATGCTGAGGGACCTGGTGATTCTGATTGGTGACCTCTATGTGGCCTGCACCATGGTCTGCTGGAAGTTGGCTAGTTGGTATGAAGGGCAGAAAGGGCTCCTAGAGACCTTCTCCCTCACCCTGTGCCTGACCTCTCTGTGTCTCAGCAACTGTGAGGCACCCCATGCTGTTGGTCTCTGGAGCATAGACTCAGGAATCCCCCAATACAAATGCATGTAGTCATATCGCTGCAGTTCTCCATAGTCCATTTTTACTGCTACCATCTCCATGCTGACTCATTATTTGTCCAGTCTGCCTGCTTGTGTGTTCCTCCCCAGTGGCAGGCAGAACAACACCAAAAATCGGCTCCAGGGCTCCCAGGTGGACAGGCTGCATCTAAGAAGGGGGTTCCTGGACAAGTGCTTTGTTCATGATGATTGCAGCCTGTCCTGCTCACTAGACTTAGCATTTTCTGCTTTCTCGGTGATCTGTTATGTTGACTTTAATGGGCCCATATTATGGCATTCTTGAATTCTACATAGGTAGTTGCACCAAAAGAATGAGTCCCATGCCTGCCTTCTGTGACATTGCTCTCCCCCTAGCTCTGCTTTGCCTGACCAACTCATCACTGCCTTCCAGAGATGAGCAGTCACACCATAAGAGGCTGTAGCTGTTAGCACATTCTTAATTAGCACTGTCACCATTAGCTGTATGATTATTAGCCTGGCCATTATTAGTGCTGTCATTAGTTCGTTAGTCACTTGTACCTGCAGCTTGATTCTGAAGCAAGCCCAAAGGGAAAGAGATAATGTAAAGAAATGAAAAAAATGACTGGGTGGTGTCTACTCAGTGCCACACAACTAATTACTTATGAAATGGCTATGATGTGTGCATGTGTGGTGTGTAATTCATCAGCAGCACTGCTCATCACCAGCCTGGCTAGGGCACTTGCAGTGAAGGCACACAGCTGCTGGACTTTAGCACAGGATGTTGACATCTGTCCCTCTATCTCCTCCAGGTCTTGGCCAGCTTTCCTCAGAGTCCCGCATAACTAGGGAGAAGCAACAACCAAGACTGTAGCTGGAAGCAGTCTTCAGGGTGATCCCGGGTATAGCCGTTGGCCTTCTGACTCCCCTGTCCTGTGCCCACTTGTAGATTTCCAAGGCTATCCACTTCCCCTTTTCTGTAGACTCATTCAAGTCTTTGCAGAAGACTGAAAATGGTGTTTTGGTACTTTGCTGGTTGGGGGACTTTGAAGAAGTTCCTTAAGTTGGTTAAACCTGATTCTTCTGCTCTATGGAGTGGGTACAAGCACACTTACTTCTGACTATTGCCATGGTAATAAAACCTAGGTTATTCAGCATTAATAATAGCACTTGGTCTACAAGGACAGTCAAAACAAATTAAACACTGTTATCAACTATCAGGTTGCCCAGCTCTGGGGTTCTCACTGCCCAATTCTGCATTAGGTCACCGGGAAAGTTAGGCTACTCAGTTGATGGAAGGACTCACAGAGCTCTCTGCAGCCCCCATCAGAGACATGGTGGGGAGCACAGGGAAAGCCAAACAGAAGGTCTTGTAAATGAGAATCAAAATGAGATGTTGACATAGACTGGTATCAGAGGACTAGTACTTAGTTCTGGGCTGTCTGATGACTAGTAGAAAAGAACAATGAGCAAGAAATAAGGCGCCTTCCCAGGCGGCAGAGCTCGTGCTGTGGAATGTTACAGCAAAGGACGGAAATTGGGAATTGAGTGATTAATAAATCCAATCATGGGTCTCACTTAGCATTATTATTTATGTTGTTCTGCTCTTTCATTTGGCTGGGAGAATTACAGAGAGCACCCATGGGCTGCTCTCTAATGCGTTTCAGCATAAAGGGCAGTACATGAGGAAGTCTGTCACCAATCTGAAATTAAAGTAATTAAGCTGTAAGGTTTGAGCTCCTGTCTCAATTAGGGTTTTGATGAATTCAGTATAATTAAATGTCTGCTGTATTTGCAGTTTGCAAACATACCCAATGCTGTGATGTTCGTCTGAGGTGCTTTGGGGAGTTTTATGGGACAGAAAGGAAATTGCTTCTAAGAAAGTGGCTTAAAGAGTGGTTCTTGGTATCCCCACAAGACATTCACAGCACCATGGTCCTACCAGTTTTTCTTTAATAACAGAGAAGAATACCAAGCAAGAGAAAATATTCAGGTTTCCATGCAACCTACTAATGTATTTTGCATATTGCTTTGAAAAGACTTCATGCCAAGTTCATAAAACAATGAATTTAAATCCACCATTCAGAGCATGTTAAGCTTTAAATACATAACCACAAACAGAGAGTAAAGAGCTTAACTGCATCCCAGATTAGGACTTTCATATTCTGGTCATTACAGACCGGCAGAGGGCTCTGGTTTATTATAAAATCTCCCACATTGGCTCCTGGCATCCTCATAATGTCCCCAATGGTCTTTGGCAAGGGCCATCTAATCTTGGCTAGGTTTTCCTTTCTTCAAATAGCACCCTGTCCGATTCGGCTCATTTACGTGAAACAGAGCAGCACCAAGAGGTTACACTTTCCATGTTAAAACTTGCCTTCATTTGAGTATCCCCAGAAGGAAATGCTAGGCAAGAAGTCAAGTGCAAGTAGTTAATTGAAGAGGTGACTCCAGGGAGCTCCGTCAAGACACTGAGGAAGTGAGACAGAGAAAAGAAAGCTGCCAAGAAAACTGTTACAGGCAAGTTATCACTGACAAGTGGGATTTGAGTCATCTGTGGGGACTGAGAGACAGTGTGACTTACAGGTGCTTGATGATCTCAGGTAAGAGGCAAGAGAGCCAGGGTACTTACCCACCAATTCCCACCTTCCGCTGGATGAGAACCTTCCGCTGGATGAGAACTCTTTGTAAGAAACATGAATTCCACAGCATTCCAGCTTGTTGGGTAGGCAGAGTCAGGGTGGACCTTAGGACCCAGAGAAAACCACAGGCACAGGATTGCCTCTTGGAAGGACCTGAAATGGTAAAGATTCTAAGAGTGGGCCCATAGTGTGTGCTACAAACACAACTAAGACTTTCAAATAAGCTAGTTGTTTGGATCCCATCTTCAGCTCCACTAGAGAAAATAAGTGTGAGTGACAAGTGACTATTAAGAAGTTATAGGTACAGTTCAGTGGTAGTAGAATGCGTACCTAGCACATGTGTGGCCCTGGGCTCGATCCCTAGCACTAAATAAACAAACAAGTAAATAAATAAATACAATTCACTTTTAAAAGATTTTTTGTGATCTTTCATTTGCCAAAAGTGTCTGATACAGTTTTCAAGTATATCAATTTAGTATGAAGTTACTAAAACTGTGTGCTCTCATGATATAATTAGAAAAGTAACATAAAAGTAAGCCAGAAAAATCTTGGAATTGACCAAAGTTTCATACCCATGTAATGTTAATTGTACATTATACAATTATAAAAAGAAAAATACTCTTTGTAACATGTGAATTTGTTATTCCTCATGAATCTTGAGAGAGAAAGAGAGAGTAGTGTATGTGTGTGTGTGTTTGTGTAGGTGTAGGTGTGCATGCATATACACTTGAAGGTACATGTGTGGGTGGAAGCCAGAGGTCAGTATCAGGGGTCTTCCTTAGTCACTCTCCCCTTATTATGAACCTAGAGCTCATCAGTTTATCAGATTTGCTGACCAATGAGCTCTAGTAGTCCACATGTCTCTGCTCCCCTAGTGCTACAGTTACAGATGTACACCAACATGGCAGCTTTTTACCTGGGTACTGATGATCCAAACGAGGGTCCTCATGCTTGTACAGCAGGTACTTTACCAACCAAGCTATCTTCCCAGTTCAAATAATAAGACTTTTTAAAGAAAGAAGAGATATAAAGCACTCACTGTAAACTTTTGGGGGAAAATACAAATGAATAGTGACTCTGATAATTAATTCTGCCTGAGGTCACAGAGTTGTTAGATAGCAAAACTTTAATTTAAAACTGCATACTTCAAAACTCATATTAAAAAACCACCTAGGATGAAAAAAGTTAACTATTATTTAATAAGCTTATCCTATACAGAGACAGCACACTCAGTGATGTTCTGTGACTATGTGTAGAAATCACCCACTAAGTTTTAAGGTAGCATGATACTAGTATCCTTATTGCTAATAGGGACATAGGCCCTGGAGATTTGGGGTGAGTACACTGAGAAAGTTAAGTCGAGAATGTACACATCTACTGACTTCTAATCTGTCTTTTCCA